TTTATGGTCAAAACACACAGAGGACAACCTGATTGTGCATACACACGTTCTCAAGCATTCCGGGCTGGTACGGGTATAGTGTGGCATTCGGGGGCAGTGCTTGTACTGTCCGGTCTATGAATACTTCTAGGAATGGACCCATCTGCATGTTGTGAGACCACCTATGGAATCATTTTTCCTGTGTGTAAAAAGTATCTTCAGTTCAGTGCAGTTCCGGATTTTGCATCGGTTTTGTTTGCTATTTTTGGCTGCCCATCTGGAGAGCAGAGCAGAGTAATGATTGAAATGTTGAGAACAGAGTCAAAGAAACGACCGAGAATTCATATAGACCGTTATTGCTAGAGTGATGAATAGATGCGTGAACGCCACCGCTTGCGACACTCAGTCATATCACTCAGTGTCTCTAACCACCGGTTACCATGATCTGTTACTTCGGATAAGCTTTATTGAATTTTATTATTGTTATTATCATTATAAATTCTGCTGTAGCATTGACAACAAGCTTTTGTGCTAACTTCTGTTCTCATAATGTTATTTCGTTAGTATCACGATGTTGGTTTTAATGTTTTTCCCTATATTGTCCCCATAACTATACCGTAATATTGATTGACTGATTTGATTCGTAAAAATGAATTTATAGCCAAAAAGTGTTTCAAATCAACTGTTTATTAACAGGAGTTAAAGACAACGAAGAAAAGGAGAACAAAACGAAGCACACTTCAATTTGGAATGAGGAATCTCTATCGGATAGGAAGCGAAATCTCTCAGTTCATTTGCAGAGATTCACTTATTGATGCACAGGTGACTGAATGGGGCTTGATGATTCGAGACAAAGCATATCAGTACTGTCCGAACCAAAGACACTATAGAGCATGACCTGGACAAACCTAAGCAGCCTAATACCATTTATATTTTCGGGTCAACAATTGTCCTCTGCTCAAACACAACGCACCCCCTCCCCAACACACACTTGATGCATATGATCTTCTCACTCAGAAAATGATTTTGTGGTAAATACGCTGGGATTGATTCTGAATCGTTGTTTCACCCCACACTCGTGTCAGGTCAAGGTCGTTTCCAATGTTTGTCATTTTTTGCATCCTCACTTCTCTCACACAGTCGATCGATGAACGACGACCCTCCGGATCAAAGCGTTTAATCATATCCGGTGACGATCCAGATCAGTTCAGACTTGAAAAGCATTCGGCTTTTCGCACGCTGTTCTCACGGTAAGTGGACATTGACTCATGGCTCGAATGAATTCCGGGTTTTCTTCCTAAGAAAATAGAACATCCCTATTAGGTTTCCGATAGTGAGGCTGCTATCCAACAGTGACTAATCACATCCGTAAGTGATGTATTACTCAAAATATTGATTTTCCGTGTATTCGGAGAAGAAAAAACAGAATGAATTATGCTACTTGAAAATCTCTTCAACGAACTGTACATGTCAGATTCACCTGATTTGGCATAAATGATCCTTGGCGCTGTCTACCAGCATGCATTTTGCATCACTAGAGCAGGTAAGCCTGATCGTTCTACTTAGTGAATAACGTCACTTTTCGGAACCGACGCATCAGGCATCGTAAATATATGAGCCCTACTGTCCGGAAAAGTATGGGAACCTGAACTTGGGAATAGCAATTCGTTGTGCCCTAAGGACACTCTATCGAACGGACGTTTCATGTTTTCACTCATGCGAACCTCCTCAAATGGGACTTTTCTGCGATCGGAATTCGCACGAAATCTCGTTTCTACTGGCACTAAAGTACAAAGCCGCTTTGCAGTTTCTTCAGAACTTGACAAAATCCACGTTTTATTCTTTCATTCAACCCGAGACAACGCCTTGAAGTGCATCGTTGGCATGTTATCGACGATTTCCACTGTGTGGTAATTATTGTTGTTACAAATTAATTTGAGGAATTGCTTTTTCTTAGCATCTGAAATTGTGTCAGGGTTTTTGTGCTTTGTTCAAAGAACATGTGCTATCTTTTTTTCTCCTTGGTTTTGCAAAAGGTTGCTGAACTGGGCTCTTCACCACATTGGGGCCCTTACGTCGAATTCCAGCATCTCATCTACTATCTACTATCCGAGTAATCCAACTCTATTTCACCATTTGTGACCTCATGTGAATAGATTCAGTCAGTATCCAACTGGAGTATATGTTGTTTTTGCGACTGAGCAAGCCGAGTAATGAAGCAACACAGAAACATCCAGAGGAAAGAAGGAGTCGTGTGAGTAGACAACTATTCTGTCTAATACACCACCATCATCATCATCATCATCTTCAACTGTCTCTTCCCTGTGCTACCTATTGAGGATATGCATCGTTTATCATTGCACAGTTTGGGCGTGCGCAGTGGACACCTTGAATCAATGGAGAATTTTCTTTCTGGAAACGAAACGGGATCAAGTGTTACAGTGTCGATGTGTCACTCACTCACTCACTCCCCCCTGGGACGCCTTGAAAGCACTTTACGGTTGTTTTTTAATCTTTGTTTGGAATCATCATCAGCATCGGCACGTGACATGTTGTTTCAACAGGCTATCCGCCGGGGGCAGTTAAAGACCGGCTTCACATTAATGCGTAATGATAAGTAGCGCCCACTTGTCGCCGTCGTTTGACGCATCGAAATTCACCGTAAGAGCTGTACACCATTGCATGATGCGCCAAGCAGAAAAGAATGTTCTTGTCTCCCACGCAATTAGTTAGTTGTCTAAGGCTGAGCGACTGTGTGCGAACCACTTATGACATCCTATGTAAATGAAAGAATTGGTAGTATTATTAAAGGAATTCAAAACGGTCATCTTCCATCCGCTCTATCGTAATGAACATTCAAAGGACAGCAGTAGAAATCTCTGCACGATAACTCAAAGTTTCTGCTCGTATAAACTGAAAAGCGTTATCAGAAACCTGCTTACTCTATTACATTATAGACAAGTACAGTGTTGCTTGTCGTCATATTTGCTTCGTCACTACTCCTGAAATTCAGAATACTGTTCTATCTTTCAGCATTGTGAATCATTTTGGTCATCGGTATATGCTTTATGCACTCCTTCCGAAATTTCTTTCAATGCACTGCACACACGATTGGGAGTGTTGAATCGCTGGACTAGACTATCTTTGAGCTATTTCATATCAATCATGAGTGACCCTGCATTCATAATCGAATGGCTACCACAGAACAGATCGCTTTATCATCATTTTTGTCCGTACAATAAAACCATGAAGTGTCTGGAGTACCTACCATCCGGAGCATGGTCCTGTACAGCTCACTCAAGTTTCAGTTGAATACNTTCCGCCAGCCTCTAATGAGTTTGATAGACCACGCGTGACCAATTAATACCCTGATGTGATTTTGTCTCCCCACTTATGATACAATCACGACACTAATAAAAAATGGCAGCTTGATGAGAAATGTTTTGGTTAAAGTTGTCTGATTCGACTGACACACACACACACACACACACACACACACACACACACACATATATATATATATATATATATATATATATAC